ACCACCTCTGTCTTAGTGCTAGAGGAGACGTGAACCGAGGAGGCGGAGAGAACCGGACGGCTGTTAGTATCTGGTGTACTGGCGACAAAAATAAGCAAAAATGACGTTACGATCTAATAGACCAATGTGGCACCTGAACAATAGCAAAAAATGTATAAGTACTACAAAAATTAACAATCAGCAATAATATTACAGTTCTCAAAGCTCTACATAGACGACTTAATTTTATCTATTGTGACAATCTATTATCAATTCCTCAGGTACAAGCCTATGACTTCATTTTGCAAAAATTCATGCATCAGTGTCATAATCCAAGCTACTATTTTCTAACAAGTTTATAGAACCAAAATCAACGAGGATTTGAATTATTCTGACACCATGTATTGACCGTTTTAAGACGCCCTCTAAATGGCTCATAAATAAACCGCGAAATATCACACGATTTATAAATCCACGCAGAGGTATTTAAATTTCCATTATGCGGTCGTCAATGTAACGAGGCAGAATGAAAGAATAAAACTACTTGCATCATACTCCGACCTCACCTTCCGAGAAAATAAATCCCGAATAACCAGACCTACCAGACAGGCCAATTTATCCCGGTGAGTTCATGAAGCAAAGCGGAGCGTTCCCCTTCCAGCCTTGCGCACTCATCACGAAGGGACGTGGCACGCTCAAAATCCTTCACCCTAATGCATTCACTCAGCGACTCGTTCAACTCATTTAACTTCACCTTCAGTTCAGCAACCTGCCAAATGAGAATGAATAGCTTTGTTTTTGATTCTATTAAACCATCGAAAACAAACCCAGGCACTTGGCTCCACCTTTATACGCAGGTAGGTCTCGCGGGCTTTATTCAAAGGCTTAGCCTGTGGCTGGTGTGAGGGCTCATCTGGTGATCCCATATGACTCAACGGCCGAGACGGCATATCGCCATGATTGCTGGTCTTGTCAACGCCCGCCAATGTGACAGTTTGAACGTCAGAAGTCTGTTTCTTTGCCGCCTCTTCGGCAGATTCCAACAGTTCAGAAGTCATCTCCGCGACCTTCAGCACTCGGTTTTGCTACAGAAAACATATGGTCTTTCATAATTAATACGAAATTTTAATTACCAAAAGTGAAACAAAAGACAGTTGTGTAACCATAAACGCAGTTAACAA